ATGAAGTACAACTAACAAACACCTTTGCACAATTTATCTTACTAAACTGAGGGGACATGGGGTTGGCATCTAGGAAATCAATAATGATATCTATTATTTCTCTGAGGTCTGAAATTCTCTAAAGGAACAGAACAATGACATTGGCTCACAAGTCAGAGAACTCCAGATTACAGGCCTTCATTCTCTACCATTATGGGTTTATGAAAATCTACCTCATATTTTCCATCAAATAGATCAAGGTACAGTACTAGCAGTTTTTTGTACTTAAAAAAAGTGTTGGCAATAACACTTTATCTATGCCCAACAATGAAAAGTATTTTAAAACTCATTATTTTAATGAGCTGTTTTTGTTGCATCTGATTTATAGAAGTCTTTTTTGACTTGCCTATTAAATGCTATAAAATGTCGTCCCTTGGGAACTGTGTTTGGCCCCTGTTAAAAACTGTAAAAAAGGATCTCTTTCACCAGGTTCTTAACTGTTAATTGATTTTAACATTACATTGAATTTATGCCTTTCACTTTTAATACTCTGATTTAGCTTCTAATTAGTTGCCTATTCACTAGAGTAGAAGGCTGGGGTTTAGATCAAATAAAACAAATAAGGAAAATGCCATTTCCCCACCCCCCGCCCCCCAAAAGGTGCAAGACTGGCAATTTTTGAAAGTTTCAATTTTTTTTTGCTTCTCTTATTATAAAATTCCTTTTAAAAAAGGGGAAAAAAAACATCACTAGGGAGGAGTTAATGTGAAATCTTACACAGATAATTGTATCTGCAGTCAGAAATGAAGTTTGTTCTCTGAAAGTACATGGATACAAAGGAACACAGGGAGCAGCCTTTGTTTATTTTGTTTATTATATTTACATACTGCCTGACTTCACAAACACCCTGCTTTATAGCAAATAAGACTAATAATCAATGTATTCAGTAGTGTTGATAATTACTTGCTATGAATTCTGCAAGTGGTTTTTCCAGATCTACTTGAAGATCAAGGGACTAAACCAAGCTCTGAATGCAAAGTTTGTTTTCTACAATCCAACTATGTATTTTAGGGGATACACACAAAAACACATATCCAAATGATAAGATGCTATAATTTTTTGATTATGGTTCCTCTTCCAACCCAGGTGGAAATTAAAGGGAAAGACATCTCCCATCCCTATTGCTTTTGTTTGATACTTATTCATATTGTCTTTTTCTGCTAGATTATTTCTAATTTTTTGGACAAGGTCTACTTTTTCTCTCCTTTGAGTCTAAATAATCTCATTGTGGAATCAGGTTTTTTTGTTTTTGTTTTGTTGACAGGCAGTGTTTGATATCCACTATGGTGTCATATTTGTCTCATTGTATCATAGAGAACTAGATTCGTTTTAAAGCTTACAACAATCGAGAAAAAGGAAAGGAAAAAACTAGAAAAAATAGTATAATCTGCTTAATAAATACCTTTTGTAAGCAAACCCACTACCTTGGCTAACTTCTACAATCTACATTTTCTCTTAAACAAATAGGTTTAAACCACTATTTTAATCAAACCCTAACCACCATCATCAAACCACAGCGGTCATATATTTGTGTTCTCAAAAATTAAATTTCAGGTGATTTTTCTAAACTAAGCTGTTTTATGGTTCAAATTTACGACATTTTGAACAGAGTGTGTCAGGTGAATAGAATGTTATTACACAAATAGAAAATGAAAGTATGGCAGGGAGGACTGGCCATTGCAAATTCAACATAGCTGTAGGTTTGGTTCAGTAAGTCTACCCTAGTGCAGTGTAGTCAACTCATAATTTTCTAGGATTTCCAAGGATATTTTCTCAACCCTACTGGAGCTAAAAACAGATGTATCAGGGAGCTTTTCTACATAAAACATATGGTCCACCTGTGAGCTATACTTTTTTCAAATGCTTTATGAACCAATATGTATTCTGTTGAAAAGATATAGACATGCCGAATGATATACGTTCGGCCGAACTGGTAGTGGTATGCTGGCCTGGGTCGTAGAACCGGCAGCAACACACTGGCCATGCCCCCAAACAGGTTCCCTGATCACTGCCACCATCTTTTTTTTTAGTTCTGCGCATGTGCAGAACAATTTCCATTGAACTATGCATGCACGCGCACAAAGCATGCCCAGGAGCAAACTGGCAGTAACACCAGCTGAAACCCACCTCTGAATCAGATGGTTATCAGAATATGTTCAGCCTAACTGTAATCTGGTGTCTACATTTGCAGAGGGCTGGAATGAAGGATTGTGCTATCTGAAATTCGTTAAGAGTCTTCTCATCAAACTCATGTAAATATAGTATTCAATCTCATAAGCACCTTCCCAGCTACAAAAGTGCCTTTCACTACATTAATATATGTCCCTTGGTGCAATAAACAAATAGTTAGAACATTAAACTGAACCAATTTTATGATAGTGTAAACATGGCAGACACTTACTCATGGCCTAAAAGCTGAAACAGACTTTCTGAGAAGAAGTGACCTTGACTTGTTGAATCAAAACTTTATTATCTTTATCTCAGCAATACTTGAATCTAGTTTTTATTCCCTTGAAAAAGACAGCTTATACAAACAAAATCTTTCTCTGGAGTGTTTAGTATTTTGACCATCTGTGGGTAATACATCCACAAAGAAAAACTTTGTTAACAAAAAACAAGAAAAAAATCCTGCTAATATAAAAAAGGATAAAATTCCAATACTGGGATTATAAGAACTGAAACAATTAGATGTCTCTCCCACCCCACTCCCAAAACCACTTCTTTGATCTGTGAAAGGTGTAAATAAAAATAAAATAAATAATATAAAATAGCAATAGCACTTACACTCATATATCGCTCCATGGGACTTTACAGCACACTCTCTAAGCAGTTTACAGAGTCAGCCTATTGCCCCCAACAATCTGGGTCCTCATTTTACCCAGCTTGGAAGGATGGAAGGCTGAGTCAACCTTGAGTCCCGTCAGGATTGAACTCCTAGCTGTGGGGAGAGCTAGCTTGCAATACTGCATTCTAACACTGAGCCACCAGGGTTTTAAAGTAAAATAAATAAATGCTAAATAAAATAAAAACAATTACACTGAAAAAATAAGAGCAATGACATCAAAAGGACAGTTGAGAAGACCCATAACCTCTCAAAAGAAACTATGTCACAGGCTTACTCATGCTATCATGGTCTCAGGATTAATAGCAAAGCCAGGTTTTTAGTGCCTTCTTTTCACAGGGCAGAATTAGGGCAAATCTAATTTTTGAGGGGATGATCTTCCAGAGGGCAGGTGCCATAGTAGAAGGGATTGTCCTCCTGGGTCCTGACAGATGACATTCTCTTGCAGATGGGACCTGGCACACACCTCTCCTGCCAGATCTAATAGGATTGGTGGGCATCATTTAATTAAATTCACACGCTTAATTTTTTTTGGCATACCTGAATTTGCTTGTTAGTGTATGCCAAAATCCTTTTATCCTAGATTTGAATGCTGTGCACTGGTTAACAGGAAAAAAAAGAAATAAATTGAAAAATTCCTTCTCAAACAGGCCAGCTATTAAGATTTATAACAGATCACAGTATTTCTGTTTCAGTTTCAACTCTGAGTAATAATTTTAAACTTTTTAAATTAAAAAAAATATTAAAGCATTTGGTACTAATTGTTAAGATTTTTGCCATTTTAGATCACAACTTGAACAGATCTTTCTTTACCATTAATCTGTCCCATTTTATACTTTCAAACTAGTCTTGAGGCTTTATTTGGTTCCTCAGATCTGAGCTTTGTACAGTATCTGAGTTATTTCTTCTTTTCATAAGGCCCTTAATTTTATTTATTTTTGTTTTTTATTGGTGCCATGCTGACTTCACTATTTTATTTTCAAATATCATTCTCTGTTTCCTCCTGGTTTAATTATTCTTGTTTCTACTTGTCTAATTGTCTGTGGGTGGGTGGGTGGGTGGGTGGGTGTGTTTTGAACAATTACATTTGACTACCTTCACATTTCATTTAAATTTACAAGAGTTATTCTTCTTCACTGAACTATACTGTGATAAGTAGATATAAGCTTTCTTTCATTTTTACATCACTACTATATGGACAGAAACCTAAAATGAGTTGTATTTAAAAAGGTGGGCTGGAGGAAGTTTAGATGCAGCTGAAATCTGTCAAACAATAATAGTAAAAATCAAACTCTGTCTACTTTTACTTGTTGCAATTTGGTTGTATAGGATTTTTTCCTGTCAGTTTACTGTTTTCTAATAATTTGTAATAAGAGTTATATTGTTCTTAATGGTAACATACTGCAATGTTTAAAAGACTTGTGATGCACATTTGCATTTTCTCTGTAATTGTTGCATGTCTTACTATCTGCCTGTGTGTATTCATTCTTTTACACTTCTCTTCCCTAAAATTTATTTGTTTATATTGTTTTTTTATTGAAGCATGTCCTACTTTAAAACAGGATTTATTCTCTTCTTCTGTTCTGAATGTTTGTGTATTGGTCTAAAGTCTAAACATATAAAATCCCATCACAAATGTGGAACTCATTTTTAAAATAAAAGATTGAAATATTCAATTAGGCAAACAGTCAGGAGTTAAATCACATTGAGTTCAGTGGGCCTTCTTTCCAAATTGAGATTGACAATACAGCAGTCTTAAATTTTTAGTTAAAACTATAGTTCATAATTATGGTTTTTTTGTTCATATCTTATGCCAACTGCTCATTTTGATTGAAAGAAAATTAGCGAATTGTAATATTTGTAAATGCAAAAATATATAAAAATACCTATGGAAAGAAAGAAAGAAAGAAAGAAAGAAAGAAAGAAAGAAAGAAAGAAAGAAAGACAGACACATGGATGGACAGACGGCTGGCTGGCTAGATAATCTCACAAACCAAGCCCCAAAATACCTGGAACATCAGTGAAGGCTTCTCCAAGGACAGAGACATGAAAATTCAGTTCCATCTTTTTCAATTTCATCAACACTTTAAAGAAGCTTTCAGGATCTTTATCATGTTCCCTTGAAATGAAACAGAACACACCTTGAGTTTTGAATTGTTTACTTACTTTATTTTCATATCCATAATTCATATGTTGTCTTCATCCAAACCGAGATGGCCCACAACATAAATAAGACAATTATAAAATAATTGCATTATAAAAATTGGTTAAAAATCTTACCAGATTTCATATAGCAGTAAACCAACCTTGAAAATGGACAGTGCCTGGACAGCTGTTAAAGGTTGGTATCTTGTGCCTGAAGCTCCAAGGAACAGAATACTCTAACAGATGGCAGACATCTTTTTGGTTTAGAGTGGAAGGCAATTCACTAAACCTTTTATGTATTTCCATAACAGGTTCAGAATCATTCCAAATAAGTAGTTTTGGAGTCTCCTCTGGAAATGCTTGTCCCAAATTAAAACCATAAATCCAGATGCAAACTGGATTGGAACCATTGATGTCTATAAGTCAGAGAATCAAGCAGCCTATCTTTCAATGTCAAAGTGCTTTTAGGAGTAATGGCAAGTATTAAACCAGAGCAAAATGGACATTTTTTCTGTTGTTCATTGTCCAGCTAAGAATACATTTCAGACTTTGTATAACATCGTAGTAAATACATAATATTATGGAGAATACAGAAAAGGTATAAAAATGCATGCCAAAGAAATTAAAAGTAATGAAATGAGGTCCACAAGTTTTAAAGTTGCCAAGTTTGGAGACCCCTGTTCTAACATTTAAAAAGTGATTTCATGATTGAAAGTTAGAGTAATTTTTAACTTATATGGATGATAAAGTGTTTATTTACAAAAAAAGCAGATAGAAAATAAATTATGCAATTCAGATTTGGACATTTAAAGTCCAATCATAGCCATGCCTATTTTCAAGTAAGCCCTGTGCATTTTAGACATAAACTGGAAGTAAGCATATATAAAACTACTGCCTTTTAGTGGTCATGGGTTAATAACAATCTCCCAATTCACATTTTCCACTGTATATCTGCTAAGATATATCATGATACAAAATAATTTTATACACAACTGACACATGTGCAACTCTCTGAAGGCACAGAGCGTGTTAAAGAGTTATAAATAAGCTAAGCTAAAAGCAATATTAAAAAGGTCAATCTTAATCTTCTTAAAACATTTAACAAGGGAGCTTTCTCTTATTTCAGTTATACAGGGGACTCAGAATGGAGAGAGAAGGTGAAAATGGACATTTTAATACTGATTTATGAATGTACAATGAGAGAGAAACTCACTTTTTTCCCAAGGATCAGAAAATATAGCAGCCAAATGTCACTTTCAGGTATGCGCTTACGATTAAAACAAGACAACATTTAGAAAATCTAACACCACACTAATAGTGGCTGAAAATGAATAGAATAGAACAGACCTTTATTGGCCAAGTGTGATGGGACACACAAGGAATTTGTGTCTGGTACATAAGCTCCTAGTGTACGTGCCAAAAACAAAAAAGTCATAATAGTCATTATAATAAAGGATAATAATCATAATCATGATATAACAATAATGATGGTAATGGCTGATGGTGCCTGAGCTTTTCATTTCTTACATAGTTTCTTGCTTCCCCAGATTACCAAAGAATAAAAGCTAAAGAAAGACACTCCTGCTTCATACCTTAAAGTTAAATATCAACTTGTATAATTTGTGGATGGTCTAAATAGAAGCAAATACATTTGCACTATATACTGAGCATGCATACTCTATAATTTAAAGCTCAAAATAGGATGGGATGGGCAGCTATATAAATTAGATATATAAATAGTGTCTTACTTTTACCAAGGCATGGGGCTAAAAAGGTCCGATCAGAATGGCTCTGCCAGATTGGGGGGAGGATTTGGTTAATGAAGGAATCTGGGAGTGACAGAATTGTTATTTCTAAGTGCTGCTATCACCTGATATCCTACTTTATAACCATAGTGCTTAGCCAAGGGCTATCTGTAATGTCTTGGTCTGAATGAATACATTAAGACAAGCTAAGAACTTTTGATGAAGGAAGTCAATCAAGGAAAGCACTTGTAAACCACAAAGATAAAGGCTAAATATAAGAAAGAAAAAAATTGAAAACCAATTTGTTAATTGGAAGAACAAGCCAATGCAAGCAAATGCATGTTCAAAGAGTTTTTACTTCCAAGGTTTACAACACACACACACACACACAAACACACACACACACACACACACACACAGTACAGGAGACTAGAGGAGAAGACACTTGGGAGATTGAGAGTTCAATCTTAGGCAGCAGGGCGCAAAAAAAAAAAAATCTGCTGCGAACTCTGAGTGGGTGTCAGGAAGCCTATTTTCCAAAGCACCTGAAGCAACTGATGGAAACTAATCAAGAAAATAACCAATCTAGAAATGAGAAATTTCCTGACAGTGAGGATAATTAGTCAGTGAAACAGCTTGGTTGTGGGTGCTCCATCACTGGAGGTTTTTAAGAAAAAGATTGGATAACCATTTGTCTGAAATGGTATATGATCTCCTGCTTGAGCAGGGGGTTGGATTAGAAGACCTCCAAGGTTCCCTCCAACTCTGTTATTCTATTAATGCTTGAAGAATATAGATAGAAAATAAGATTTTAAAAACCAACACAGTCTTCATTAAGGTCAGGACTGTTAAAGAAAGAAACTGAAGGTTTTACTTTAGCAGCTCAAGAACAAGCCTTAGCCACAAACTGCATGAAGGGAAAAATTCAGCTTCTAATAAACAATTGCAAATTCTGCCTTGTAGTGAAAAGAACAAAACAATTGATCATTTTATCAGCAAAAGTTTGCAAGCTGACCTCAAGCAGCATCATGCTTAAGCTGTCAGAATTTATTCATTGGAAACTTTGAATTGCAGTAAAAAGTACTGGGACTATCAAGTTGAAAAGTTTTTAGAAAATGAGCGGGTTCAAATTTTCTGGGATTCTAAGATCCAAACAGACAGGCAACTTGTTCATATCATACCTGATATAACAGTTACTGAAATGAAGAAAAATTGATTCATTGTTGTTGCTATTTTGGATAATGTTAGGATTGAGGAAAAACAATTTAAAAAATTGAAATATTGGGACTTGCAGATCAAGTTAGAACTGAAGAGGCTTCTTGATGAGAAGTGAAACATTAAAAAAACCCAAGAAAGTTCAGTTGCTTTTTGGAAAAAAAAACACCTTTGGGATAATCTGAGGTTGAACGCCTATGGAAAAAAATATATGATATCGCAGCAATATCAGGACATGTAGCAATCATGACTGGGGCTCTTGGTGCAATATCTAAAGGAATCTCTTAATATCTGGAAATATTGAATTTACCAGACCTCACAGCCTTAATATTACAAAAACCCCACCCTGCTTAGAACTGCCTATATTCTTAGATACAACCTTAGTAATGCTTAGGCTTTCGGTCAGGCCTTGGATTATTAGGTTTCCACCAGTCTTAGATTGTGAATCTAACCACAGATTATCCCACACGTAATTTATTAAATTTTGTTTCTTTGCTGTCCTATTCTTAAAGACCCTGGGTGATTTAAAACAATCAAAGACATCATAATAAAATCAATAAAAGTAAAGCAATGCAAAAAATGGTCGCTATTTATGGACCAGGATTGGTGATGTCTAAGAATAGAAAACATAAGGTTTAATCAGTAATCGAGCTTGGTTATTGCAATTCTGTGCAGTATGTTTTCAAGTAAGTTTCAAATGTAGTTAAGTATGAATACAGGTGGCCTTTGTTATATGCAAGGGTTTTGTTCCAGCCCAACAACTGCAACTAATGAAACCACAGATAACAAGATCTTGGGGGGAAAAAACATACTTCATGCATACTTAAACTCCTACTTACCATTTTGTTCCCTGAATAAAATACTTACAGAATATTCCCTATGTTTTCTTTGAAACAGAACTGTGCACCCAAAAAATGCAGATAAACATAACTCTTACTGCAGAAAATGAGGTCGGTATCTACCAATCGTGTGAGACTACAGGTAACAGAGCCATAGATAAAAGAAGTCAATGGTTTTATAAGATTAAATCTTTTCTACACTGATGCACTCTCAACAGTTTTCTGTTTATCAGCATAAAAAAAAGTGCTAGATTATTTTCAATTCTCTGCAGTCCTTTAGTTTATTTTGGCCTTCCTCAAAATGGAGACAGTACACAGATATAGATGTTGGGGAAGGGCAGCCGGAAAATAATTAGTTTACATTGGTTTAGAGATGACCAGAAAAGTATCATTTTTTTTACTCCACTCAGGAAAAAGTCTATGGAAATTCTCAGTGATCCAGGTCATGGTTGTCCCAAAAGTACTTTTTCATACAGGTTACTGCAATTTCTTTGTTTTTCCTTGAAGACGTTTCATTTCTCATCCAAGAGGCTTCTTCAGTTCTGAAAAGTGAAATGTTTTAAAAGAAAAACAAAGATACTCTAGTTGTGTCTTGAAAAAGCACCTTTGGGACATTCAGGAAAAAACTTTAAACATGATTTTAAAAAAATCTCCCCATTAATATTCCTGAGTTCAGCAGAATTTGCATCATAACATAGAAACTACAGCCAGACACATTATTGTGATCACACTGTTGTTGTTGTTGTTAGTTGCGAAGTCGTGTCTGACCTATTGCGACCCCATGGACAACGTTCCTCCAGGCCTTCCTGTCCTCTACCATCCTCTGGAGTCCATTTAAGCTCATGCTTACTGCTTTGGTGACTCCATCCAGCCATCTCATTCTCTGACATCCCGTTCTTCTTTTGCCCTCAATCATTCCCAGCATTAGGCTCTTCTCCTGTGAGTCCTTCCTTCTCATTAGTGGCCAAAGTATTTGAGTTTCATCTTCAGGATCTGGCCTTCTAAAGGGCAGTCAGGGTTGATCTCCTCTAGGACTATATATATTTGATCACACTAAATATATACAAATTAACGAAGAAGAATCTAAGGAAAGAATACCTTGTCTCAAGAATGTGTTCCTCTCAACATAAGGCTTTAAAATATTAGATCTTACCTTACTCAGGATAATAAAGAAA